TTTTTTTGAATAATATCTGTACTACGGTCTAACTTGCGTTTGTCAATAGTGTCAAATCGTAAATTCAGCTGGTACTTATCATGCTATCAGTTCAGCCGAATCAAGTGCTTCATTGTCGAGTGTTTTCATTGTCAATTATATGTACATTTAAGCTCTAACACTACGTCTTAAATCGAAGCACCTATCTAATAGGTCATTGTTACCAATTGCATTCATACTACGCAGGCTCTAATGGAGGTAGATCAGCAGCATCAGCAAAACCCCCCCGGTAGGACAACACCATCGCCTGTGGACTCGATAACTCCACCTGATTCAGCATTCAATCCACTCAACTTTCAGAATCAGCGAGCACTGAACCCAAAAAAGCGAATAATTTCACAACTAGAGGAAGCGATGGCGCAACATCAACAATCCCCTTCGCCACTTAACTATCATATTGAGGTCTCCCCATCTTCTGATGCACCCACACCTGCATCGGTAAGTATTTATCTTTCCTTCAAGCGATTTGCGTCATTATTTGCGCGGATTTAATTGAACCTTGGTCTCTTCAGGGTCAGTTGGTATTGTACATTTTTTTTTCTCTCAGAGACTTCCTCTGAAGAAACGGCAGTCCGAGGAGGATGCAGCTGGCGATGAGAGCAGGCCAGGGACGCCAGGGAAGTCAAAGCCAGAGAAGGTTCGAATGTCTCTCTCGGAGTACCGTCGTCGACGTGGTCTTAGTACAGCTTCCGTGGAGTCAACAGGCGCGAATAAATCACAGGCGCTCCCGCCCATGACGGATTTTGCTTCACCTAGTACACCTCCCGGTTCGCCTGCAGTTGATTTAAAACGGCTCGGTCCCTCTTCAGTATCACTTGTTCCACCTACAAGTGGGTTTCCTCTGGGAGGTCCTCGGACTCCAAGCGAGCCTCCCAGTGATGAAGAAGAAGGAAAAAGGCTGGATGTTTCTTCGTCGGCAACATCGATTCCATTTATTAATCGATCACATCAGCCACCTTCTTTGTCGGCACCAGCATCTTTGCCGTCGCCCATTCGAGGAACCGTTGAACGGTTTCACGACTCTTTCAGCGTTGATTCTCCTGAAAAGCCACGTGTAAGACCACTTTTTATTGACTCTGGTATGACTCTGCATTACCAATCATGCTTTCTTTAATTTGTGCTCTGTGTATCTTTTTTTTCTAGGCATCTCCACCGCCACATCGCCCCCCTGGAGGTTGTGATCGACACCTTTCGGGTCACGCCCAAAGACGCGCTTCACCGCCTCCACCTCCCCTTCTGGGCTCTGCGTCAGATTCGGCGACTCCACCTGTCTCTCCCACTGCCTGTTACCCCCCTCCCGTAGAGCGTGTTCTCCGACGTGATCGCGAAATTCTGCAGTGGCAAATGGAAAGAAAACACCAAAACTTCCAGCAGTCCACTGGACGTCTCCAACATAGTAGTCATACCTCAAGTTCTAGCGTCACTCATCTTGAAGTAAATCATGCACGCTCATACTCCATATCTACTCCTCCTCAACAGTCTGCTTCAAGGACTCATGTCTATCCCAACCTCACTCAATCACTGGCTTCGGCCCCTCCCACCACTGCATTTAACCACCACGACATGGAGAGTATTCAAGAAACCCTGAGACGTAAACAGGAGCACTTGCGTGCGCAACTTCGCGACCTGCAAAAGGCCACTGCCAGTGGGAGCGGGTAATGGTACGTTGTGATATTCAGTAGCTCATATGGTCGAACTTTGTCACATTACAATGAAGTTACTACCAGCTGGATTGGTCTTAAATCAGGATCGTCATTATTCGTTTTTATTTAGTTTTAGGGGCTAGTAGGCTTTCATCATGGAAGCATCTTATGTTGCGTAAGATGCGAGTTTACGTAAGTGATGTCATGGACTGTTTCTGTCTAGGAATCATTGGGGAAGTTATGCGGCTCAGTTAACTTCTTGAAACTACACAGGAATTTGGTCTGAGATTCGAATGGAGATGATGACGGGGTACAAACTTGGTTTCGAATGTCGTGTTGTTTCGCCTACTGTCAGACGTCAGTCAGCCTGAGTCTGATATCAATAATTTCTCTTGGGGTTGTGAAGACACGACAGTTGTTATTCTTTAACCACTCTGAAGCTCTAGATCTACGTGCTATTTTATTAGTAATTTGCCATCTGTTTGGGCCTACAAAACATAGGTGTCCCGATGTTTATACTTAACGGTTAACAATGTTGTTGGTATTTTTGTTCTTCGATCTTACTTCCTTTGATTTTCAAAACAATTAGCAAGATTTTCTCCGCGCAATTCGGTTTGAAGCGTTATTTGAGTTTTCTGATTCCTCAAAATTCGTTTCAACATGAATTATTCCTGTTTTAGTCTCCTGAAACACCGGGCTTACCAACCGAGCGACGGGCCTTTATTTTTACAGCATTTCTTGAAACCAATCCCAGATGAGGCCTGAATTGGAAAATTACAGATCACGGGCCGGTACCTCCTTTCTCCCGCTTCCATACTACCAAAACATCTTACTTATATTTCCACATTTGTATTTGCGCCAATTTTAACATTGAAGAACTCTTCTTGTACAGTGTAGACGCAGCTGTGCCTCGCGAATCCGAGATAGTGAATAATTAAGTTGTTGCGAAGGAGACAAATCGGACGCATCGATGCTTCGGAAAGAACGAAACTGCACTGATTCTCAGCTGCTCTTGCTACTACTTTTATACCTTATTCTCACGTTTAACCCCGGTCCTTCTTGTATATACTTTAATGAACATTGCTTTAAGGAACTCGTGTTTGAGGGCGAACTTACCTCCCCGCCAGGTCGCACTTTCCTGTGTATAATTTCATTTCCATTGTTCTCATCGTATTCCTTGCCACAATAGGGCACTAATTGTATACATCTTTTCTCCCTTATTTAATTAATGCCTCTTCTGTACACACGAGTGCAGCACAACTTGTTTTATCAAGAAAGGTTTGTCCTTGCCACAAGTATTTAATCCTGCAGACTGTCTTTGCAAAAATTATTGGGCGTCACTCCAGAATTAATCGGCCTGCTATAGCATGAATGATGTTCAAGTTCAGGGTAGGAACACTTGGAGAAGTAAATTCTGAAGTAAATATCAACATTGGTGTGGGTGGCTATGCTTTCGCACCTTTTTTTTCCCTAAGCCCTGTTCAGACAGCATGGACTTCGGCTATTCAAGTTGTCCGGGTCTACAGACGTTCGTGTCAGTGATGTCTGACTCAGTTATGAATGCGAGCAAAGCATATCGAGCGCAATTCATCGTTTTGGTGTCGGTAGTGCGTATGCTCACTCGGCACGTTGGTGGTGTGCGCCGTGAGTCCTCTGCGTTTGGTGTTAGTTATCCGAGTCATTGGTCGAAATCAAGGAGACCGTCGTAATTACTCGTTTAACACAGGATAGCCGTCGTGCTTGTGGTCATTTTAATCTGTCAAGCGTAGAACGCAAATCTATCAAAAAGATTTGAGTGAGTGGGATGCGTGTATGCTATGCATAGGAAGTTAGGTGCTTTATTGGACT